TATCGAGGGGGATGTCTGCGAGAGCATGGGAGGGGGAATGTCTGTGTGTACACGACTTAGCCGACTATTTGTGGGTTGTTGCGGGTGTAGGGGGAATGTCTACCATAGGACTTAGCCGATATTTGTCGATTATTGTGGGGTGTGTAGGGGGAATGTCTGTACAATTAGGACTTGGCCAATTTTTGTAGGTTGTTGTGTGTGTGTAGGGGTAATGTTTCTAGAGATTGGGGACATCGCCGAAATTTCAGGGCTGTGAGGCACATGAATATCGCACTCAGGGTTCGTACGCGTTGCTCCCTGAAAACTCAGTATTGGCATAACGATATCCCTGAAATCCCAAGTGTTCATAAACTTACAACCCTGAAGGGGCTAGGGTTAAGAAAAGTCCAACCCTGAAAATTAAGGGTTGGCAAAAAAAATACCCTGTGAAATCAGGGAATCAGGGTAAAATACCCTGATAACGACAGGCCTGGTGAGGGGCGTGATTGGTCCTTCGTCAAAATCACGCATGCAGTTTGACGCGAGCTGGAGCAGGTGTGAGGGGCGTGATTGGACCTTAGGCAAAATGACGCAGGTAATGCGAGTTGGAGCAGATGTGAGGGGTGTGCGTGATTGGTCCTTCACCAGAATCACGCAGGCAGTCTGACGCGAGTTGGAGCAGGTGTGAGGGGCGTGACTGGTCCTTGGCCAAAATCACGCTAGTATGTGAGAATTTGTATGCAGTGAAGTCCGATCTGATGTAAGGATCAGAAGCCTAAAAAATGTACCTGATGAGTCAGGTTTTTTTTTTTTTTTTCTGACAAAACATGCCGTGTCTAACATAATGTGCTAGGTTAAATCCTACCCACCCTAAAAAATCACGAAGGTTCAACCTATCATCTAAGCTCTGAAATTTTTCAGTCCTGATTTTTCAGTCTTCGAAAAAATTTACCCTGAAATTTTTTGCAACTTCCAAAACTCGACCTTGAAAAACGGGGGCTCCTTCTGGGGGCACCCTGAGCAAACAGCCCCTCAAAATCCAATCTGAAGCCCTTGGTGAAACACTCATAACATCTGGTATTCAGAGCTACTTTCCTTACCTACCCGTTTCCGTAGGCGGAAAACTTTTTTTCGGGAGGGGAGTGATTCGCTCAACGAGTTGCAAAGCGGTTGGCCGTGAATTAGACGAATTAATTCGCCCGACTATGATAGCGTTTGCGCTCTTACCTGAGCATGAGTAATCACGGATATTCCCCTGCCCACCCGGCGGAGTGTCTGCCACATGGACCAGGCACAGTTCGACGAGCTACTGGCGAAATTCGCCGCCACGGACGCTCGCCTACAAGCTATGTTAAACGACGACGATAAACTTAGCGCCGAAGTTACCGAACGTCGCCAGGTGCAAGAGATTACGCGCCAGAAGTCGCCCGCCCCCGAGGACGCCGCTGTTAGAAATGAGAATGAACTAGAACAAGAGAGTACAGGGGAGATATAGGGTTGGAGTTGTACTCTCTAAGAACACAAATCTATCTAGCCTATAACTTCTGCATATAACCATATGTATAAGTTGACACACCCCCTAGGCTAGATAAGGGGCAGTGCAAAGCTAAGGAACACGCAGCTCATGGTGGCACTACCAGGGCCAGTGCGACAGGGGTCGGCTAGTGCGACAGCAGCACGCGCAGCAAGTGGCATGAGTGTGGCGTGGTCGCGGAAGAAGTAGGCAGACGCACAGGAGTCAAGTGTGAAGGACAGTGAAGCAGTAGCGGCAGACGAAGGAGGAGCAAGTGTAGAGTCTAGGGTAGACAAAGCAAACGGTCCTACGTCTGACGCAGCAGGAGAGTCTATACTACACACAGGTGCTACACCTAAGCTAGAGAACGCTGGGTGAAAAGATCCGGACACACTAGAGAATGCAGGGCAGAACTAATCTGATCCATGTCTAAGTCAAAAGCAGGCACACCGTGGCGCAGCAGACTGGGCCAATCAGGGAGGTCTGGGGCCGGGCTGAAGCGGCGACAAAAGAGGACTTCAAGGCGACAGAAGCAGCGAGCGGTCAGGTGCGGACGGCAGCACACAATAGCCACGAGGGACCGGGTCTGGAGCTTGTACTAGCAGCCCACAGCATCGACTGTCCCCCCCACCACTACAACCACCACCAGCGCCAACACCACACCCTTCCTTGGGGCCGCGACGGCCTCGACGCTGTCGCTGGCAGCTGCGGTCTCAGTGGCAAGGGCAGCTGTAGCAACCGCGGTGGAAACGTCAGCGTACGTGCATTGGGAGGGAGCACAGCCCTGAAAGATAGGGACTGCCACAACACCACTCGACCGAGCGATAGTGCGCTAGCGAGTCTCTATCTCAGACAAGGCAGTGACAAAGGCTGCCAGGGTGAGGTCACCAGGGTGCTGGCTAAGGAAGTGGTCACGGGCAGTGGCTAAGCGGTTAAGCAGGCGCATGGCAATAAGGTACAGGGTAGTGCAAAACGGTGGGGGGAAGGCAGTGAGCTGGGCAACAGTGCTAGCAGCGCGGTAGCTAGTCTCTAGTGCACGGAGATGAGTGGCGAGGCCAGCAACAGTGGGGAAAGCGAAAAGATCGAGGAATATCATGGGGAGGATCAAGCGGCCAGTGGAGGTGGAGGCAGGTGTGGAGTAGCACGCAACTACTGCATCTAGGAAATCCTTGGCGTTCGAACAGCAGTGAAGCGCGGACGCTCAGACAGGGGAAGTGCATGATTAATGGCGAGCTGCGCTACAGCATCGCGAGAATCCCACATAGGGCGAGCGAGCGCAGCAGCAAAAAAGGCCTCACTCTCAACAGTGGTGGGGTCAGCAAGGAGGGGATCAGGCACGAGGGGCGGGGGGGCGAGGAAGCAAGCCATCAACATGCATAGCCAGGGAGTGCCCATCTTGGCGCTGACCTGTTAGGTGACGGCGAAGATCGATAAGCCAGGCGGCGAAGTCGATCGCGTGCCCCTCCGCGTCCAGGCAAAGGACGGCCTCCGCCATCGTGCAACCTCAGCGGTACAGCTCTATGACGGCACAGCGTCATGGTGGCACAGCGGCACGACGACACAGCGGCACAGGGACACGGCGGCACAACAGCACAGGTACTCAGCGGTACAGCGGCACAGCGGCGTGGCGGCAGGACTCTCCACCGGCGGGGTGTGCGAGGGGCCGGCGGGGTGCGCTAGGGGCCGGCGGGGTGCGCGAGGGGTCGGCGGGCACGCTAGGGGACGGCGAGGTGCACGAGGGGCCGGTGGGGCGCTAGGGGCCGGCGGGGTGCTAGGGGCCGGCGAGGTGCGGTAAGGCTAGGGTACGATGGAGCGGTAGGCTGGGGCGAGGGGCGGAAGCGGGCGGGTGGACCTAACCTACTATGATACCATGTTAGAATGTGAGAATGAACTAGAATAAGAGAGTACAGGGGAGATATAGCATTGGAGTTATACTCTCTAAGAACACAAATTTATCTAGCCTATAACTTCTATATATACCCATATGTATAAGTTGACAGCCGCCAGCACTAGACGTGTCGAAACAGTATTGGACGAGATCGCACGTGACGTGTCCCAGGAGCGCCATGATGATGAAGCTGAAGCAGCAACGAATGTCGCCGCACGTGCCACGACAGCTGCAGCAGCTGCGACAACGGCCGCCGCTCGCTCCAAAGCAGCAGCAATAGTTTCTGCAACAGCCGCAGCCACACCAACTGTACTAGTGGCCAAGATAAAGCCGCCGATGCCGCCCCTTTTTAACCCCATGGACAAAAACACCACCATGACGGGCTGGATTTTTAAGATGGAGCTTTATTTTGATGCTGTCGGGATTACTGTTGATGATTTAAAAATCAAACTGGCTCTTTCGCTACTGAGGGGACCTGCACTGGATTGGTGGCGATCGACGCTAAGTGAGATGGGGACTTCGGCAGGGAACACTCTTGGATTTTTCGGGAGTTCGGAATCTACTGCCCGGGATGCAACGTCAATTTTCGGAGCGACCGAGATTCACACGTGGAAAGCATAGGGTACAACTCTGCGTGCACGTTTCGAGCCCATATCCGCCTCGGACAATGCACGTACGAAGCTGGATACCTGGCGCCAGTTGACCTCTGTCCAGGATTACGCGTCATCATTTTAGGCACTATGCGATCAAATCACCGACCTATCAGAAGCTGAGAAAAAGAACCGGTTCATCTTGGGGCTCAAATCAAACGTTCGCTACGAAGTAGTGGTGATCGCCAACCTGTACGACGCCAATCAAAAATATGCGAGATTGGGTTCCCGGGAGGGAAATCTTTTTTGTGGCCAGGATCAACGGACCTCGATCAACGGCATTGTGGCGAATGACAAAGATCGCTGGAAGCGATAGTGTTTTCACTGCCACCAGCCGGGTCACCGATATGCTGACTGCCATAACCGGAAGCAGAGGAAAAACAATGATGGGGATAAGCCGAGAAACGACTCTCGTCAGTAGCAAGCGGGCCCCCTACTAACACGGCTACATCGCCCGAGAAACAGCATCTCCACTGGGTAGTGGTACCGTTACATGCTATTGACCGCTCTCGGACGAATAACGAAGATGAACCTGTGGATTACCTTGTACTGGTAGAAGGGCAGGTTAACGGCAAAAAATCAAAAATATTCACCGAAAGTGGTGAGAGCCACAGCCTGATTCACCGATCGACGGCGAAAAAATATAAACTTACCCCTGGAGCGGTGTCTGCCCGAGATCGATGCCCGATTGGTCGACGGCACCCCGCTGGCGATACACGATCGCGTGCGAACTGTTCGCATGAAGTGTGGTGACAATTTCGGCTTCGGCGCGCCGATGCTGGCGACGACACTCGACGGCTATGATGTGCTGCTGGGACGAGATTAGCTTCGGTGACACAACTCGCAGATCGATTGGACGACAGGCGAGTGCACTGTCAAGTGTGCGAGCGGTCGGCAGATACTGCCAAAATGGCGAAGAGCAAAGACGATAACGATACGCGTCAACGCCATCACGCTGACACGCGCGGTCAAGAATGGCGCGGAATTGTACGCCATCCATCTGAAGGAATCAACGGATGACAATCAATCGGTCGACATCGATAAGCTCTGCGCAGTAGTCCTCGAAGATCTGGCACAACTGATTCGTCAATTCCCATATATTTTTCCGGACGATCTGCCACCTGACCTGCCGCCAGAACGCCCTCAGGACCATCGGATCGAACTCGAACCTAGCACGCAGCCAATTGTCCGGACACAGTGGCGGCCGACGCAACCCGAGCTCCAGGAATTACGGAACCAGCTGGACTATTTGCTGGCCAAAGGGTTCGTTCGACCAAGTACAATACGTCCCCGTTCGCTGCACCGATTCTGTTCACGCCCAAGAAAGATGGGGGCCTCCGAATGTGCATCGATCATCGTGCCCTGAATCGGGTTACGATAAAATCTCGCTACCCAAAAACGCGTGCGGACGAACTGATTGACCAGCTGCGGGGCGCTTGCTATTTCTCGAAGATCGACCTTCGCGATGGTTACCACCAGATTCGCGTGTTCGCCGACGATTGCCACAAGACCGCGTTTCGTACTCGCTACGGGAGTTACGAATACACTGTCATGCCGTTCGGGTTAACGAATGTCCCCTCGACGTTATAGCTGACGATGAACGGGGTATTCCGGAATCTACTCGATAAATGTGTGATCATTTATCTGGATGATATCCTGATTTACAGCACGACACGGGAGCAGCACTTAAAGGACCTGGAAGCGGTTTTTCAGCACTTACAGCAGAATCGTCTCATCACCAAAGGCTCTAAGTGCGAGTTTTTAAAACCTGAAACTAGAGTTATTAGGGCACGTTATTTCGACGGAGGGCGCGAAGATTGACCCCCGCAAAATGTGGGCGATTCAGGAATGGAAGCCGCCGACCAACCTCCAGGAGCAGCAGTTATTTTTTGGATTTGTCAATTATGCGCGCCGGTTTACACTCAACATGGCGAGGTTAACTGGGCCACTAACTGACCTACTTCATAAGGGCACCGATTATCAGTGGGAGGAGAAGCAACAAGCTGCGTTTGACAGATGAAAAAATGTTTTGATATCGCCACCAGTACTTCGGATTGCTGACCCAGATTGACCGTTCGAAGTCGTGACAGATGCAAGTGACATCGCAATCGGAGCAGTTCTGCTACAGGATTTTGGCGACGGCCTTCAGCCAATCGCGTACGAGTCACAAAAGTTACAGTCGGCCAAGCAAAATTATAATGTACACGACAAAGAAATGCTGGCGATCGTGCACGCGTTCAAGATCTGGCAATGCTACCTGACGGGAGCTGACGTGATTGTACGAACAGATCACAAATCCCTACAGTACCTGCGCGCGCAGCCGAATCTCAACCCGCGGCAGATTCGCTGGTTGGATTATTTGGAGTCGAACTTCATGTACCGGATCACGTACAAGAAGGGTGCCAACAACATTGTAGACGCCCTCTCCAGACCATCTGCCCAAACCGTCGCTGTACTAATCGTCCAAACCGTTGCTGAGCGGACTATTTACCCACGGATATTCGACCTATCCCTTTTTCGTAAACAACGGCCACCAGCAGGTCTCGAATTCGCGGGGAGCCTATTACGTAAAAGCGGGAACGGAACGGATTTGGGCTCCGAGTTATCGTCTACTTCGTGAATTACTCATTCAAGAAGTCCACGATTCGAACTTATCGGGACATTTCGGGTTTGACAAGACTCTGAAGGCACTGCATCGGTTTTATTACTGGCCAGACATGATTTCGCACGTGCAAAAATATGTGGGCATATGTCCAACCTGCCAGACAATGAATTCATCACGACTACAATCAGCAGGACTATTGCAACCCCTTGAGCCACCCCAGTGACCTTGGCAGCACGTGACAATGGATTTTGTCCCCGGCCTGCCGGCTGGACCAGGTGGAAACAATGCGTTTCTTGTTGTCGTTGACGATCACAGCCGAATAAACCGCATGTCTGTTCATCTCGGACGTCGTTCACCATTAACGGTTGATTCGCACAAACTGCCCGCGTATCAGCAAATGGGAATATTCGCTACCCATGCTCGAGTTTTCCTTGAACACTGCACCCTCCGCCACGACCAATCATTCGCCCGTTTTCCTGAATGATGGGATGGATCCGACAGTACCCATCTCCACCAACATCGAAAGCCAAGTTCCCCGCTCGCAGCAATCCTTCGCAAACCTTCAAAACGCCCGCACGAAAGCCATCGAGTTTATCCAGAAAGCCAATGGCACTGCTCGCCAATACGCCGACCGCCACAGACGAGATACACTGACGGAAAGTATTGTCCACATGTTTGTGACTTAGAGGAATTTTGCCATTTTAGGGGGTCATGGACATTAAGCCTTAATCTTCAAGTGTGCCTAGTGTATGTAGGTTGGGGTAAGGCTCTACGCCCATGCCTTACATCACACAAGTATAATGATGTTTACAACAAATACCAGAAAATAACAATCTTGGTACATGTGGACAATTATTGCCAGGCGCAAGCAGCAAGTTACATCAACCCCAAACTAGTACCTAATCCACCACCCTTTCGCCTTAATCACCACCCTCACCCTCCTGGGCATGCTTTCCACCAGGTGGGTGCACACATCCACCGGGATCTTCTCCCATTCCTCCTGCACCCTCTCCCAAAGGTCCAGTATACCAGTGGGAGGCTTATAAGGCTTGGCCAGCTGCCTCTTGAGATGAGCCCATAAATGCTCCATTGGGTTGAGGTCGGGTGAGGAAGACGGCCACTCTAGCACCCCAAAATCTTGCTCTCTAAGCCACTCCTGTACGATACGCGACTTGTGCTTCGGGTCGTTGTCGTGCTGGAAGATATTTTCCGAGGGTGTAAGCTGGTAAAGCTCAATCGTACTGTTGAGATCGTCCTGCAGTATACTCAGCGAGAGCAGTCCGTCCATCCTACCATATGTTTTGCTCATGAAACCCGCTCCCTTTTACGACATGCAGTCGTAAATCATCAAGCAACCGCCCCCGTGTTTGACGGTCTGCTTGATTTGGTGTCTTTGGAGGGCAGTCCCTTCGTGAACGTCGGCGTATGAGAGTCCGTCGGATGCAAGACGACCGATCTTGGTCTCATCCGAACAAATCACTCGCTTCTAGTCGTCAACCGTCCAGTCTGCATGGGCAAGCGCCCATTCCAGCCTATCGCGTATGTTTTTCCGAGAGTGTCGCGGCTTCTTGGGATGCTTGATTGCGACAAGTCCACTCCCATTCAAAGCGTTACGCAATGTCTTAGGATGCAACGTGATGCCGTGCTGCTTCTCAACGATTTTCGCCACGTGAGCGGAGATTTCTGCCTCCTCGCTGGTAATCGACCGAACTATGCCGCGGCGAACTCTCTCTGTCACTAAGCGAAGGCGACCGGCTGAGGGCATCGTAGGACGCACGTCATCGCGGCTAGACTCTACAATCGCCTTGATGGACCGAACTCTTCCCTATGCCTAGCTGTTTAGCGATTCAACGATTGCTATACCCCCTCCGCAACAAGGGAATGATCTATGCGTAGAGCGCCTCATCTAACGGTTTCATGACGGCCTAATCGTCGCAGCGGTCCTAGCCTATCTCTTGACTACTTGATAGTCGCGAGGGCAAGTAAGAAGAAATAGCGAGGTTAGGAAATAGATCTACTACGCTGCTTGGCTTGAACTGTCCGGATGCACCCACACGAACGAAATCTCGTCCTCGGTAAAAAACCGACCCCTATAAAACTGAAACCAGCATCCGTCACATACAGTACAGTACTACTTTACATCAAACCCTGAAATTTGATTCGTAACTAAACAAAGAAGGCACCAAACCAGTACGAGAAATGTTTTAAGGCAATTATCCGGGCAATACTTTCCGCCAGTGTATCACCTTAACTGCACGGAAACTAGTCCTCCTCGACACCAAAAACCTTCGCTTGCATATATCGTCAAACCTTCGACCTCGCTATTGTGGACCTTTCAAGATCATCAAAATGATCATGCCCGTGACCGCCCAACTCCGCCTGCCCGACGATTGGAAAAATCATATTTCTTTACGGAAGGAATTACGATTCCTTACTGGGGCTCGCCATAGCGAGTACACACGAACAGTTCGCGTCCGCAGGCTCGGCCCTCAAGTCACGCGCCAAACCAGCCCCTGCTGACCTATTCGGCCCCAACCTCATCCCGAGTCGCACCGAACCCATTTTGACCCCTTCACCATCGGGACTATCGAGCCCTTGTCTAGTCTAACCCTCGACATTCAACCCTGGTCAACTCGCACTAAATAAGCCCTAGGTCTCATTTGGATAGGACATTCTGTATGATTCTGTAATCACATTCCACTATAGTATTCTACGCTATACTCTGAGTTATAATTCATAACACTTTCCACGTCAGCCTCCTTCGTCCTTTTGTTACCGACACGTCCAACGTCGCCCGATAACCGATCGCCCAGGATCTACGGCCAGCCGAGGAGACGCTCATCGAACCAGCGAAGATCTTGAGCCATCGCGTAAGAATCAACGGTCAGGAACGGCATGTTGACTTTCTGATACGATGGACGCATCGTACCTGCGAGGACAACACGTGGGTTCCATCGGTACAAGTACAGTCACCTACTGTACTCCGGGATTATTTATCTTGCAAGCACGTCGCAAATATAGACCACCTTCGCTAGAGGGGGAGTAGTGTAAGGATTTTTCCATTCCTTAGCACGCCAAACCGCTAACCCGTACCCCAACCCCACATGGCACCGACACCTGCCCTAGCAGTCATTAAGTCACCAGTCCTAACCACCGGGACAAGAAGGGATGTCATCAGGAGGGTTAGGCTCCATATATCCACTTTCCCCGAACACGGCACCGAACCGAACCATTTCTGCGTCACTCCGAAGCGCTCCGCGTCTGACTTCTTCAAATCTGTTTGATCACACGGCTAGGATTTCTCTTCGTCATTCCATTGTACCACATCGTGTTATTTCTGAACCTCGACATTCGATTCTACGCTACTGTGCTTAAACACTCATAACAAGAACACCACATCCTGTTGAGCCGGTAACACGCACTCATATCTATTTCGCGTTCTGCACGTGCTTGTACCATTCGCAGCTCGCTCCTATCGGGGTTGGCACATCTTGAATTTGCTTGTCCCACCACTCGCCTCGCCACACCACATTCACCCTCCTTCCCCATCTCGCGTCCTCGGCCCTCTGCGCACCTCACGCCCACCTAGTTCCTCGTATCGCGCTCATCCGCCGCGCGTCGCGCGCCATGCTGGACGACGACGTGTTCGACGACGTGGATGGCGGCGCGGACTTCAGGGAGTGGGACCGCGAGGCGCGGGTTCGCGAAGACAACTTCGTCAAGGTACCCGCTCCCACCGCGCCCGCCGCACGGCCGTATTGCGGCGCGTTTTCCACTCGCGGGGCCGTAGGTCCATGCATGCTGCAGCGGTCGATCGGTAGTCTCCGCGCAAGTGCGGGGGTCATACGCCACCGCAAAGCGGCATATCTGCAACCCGTTCTCCGCCCATCGCAGTTGCCCCTCCTTCACGCGCCTACCCTCCCTCCATCATGCCCCCCATCCCCCCTTCCCTCCTCCCCCCCCCCCTTGCGCTGCGAGCAGCTGGGGTACCGCGACGGCGTAACGGCGGGCAAGGAGGCAGCTGCGCAGGGAGGGTTCAACGCGGGGTTTAGGGAGAGCTGCGGGGCCGGCTTCCGATGGGGGCACGCGCGAGGCCTCGCCAGGTGTGGGGACGCTGCTTTCCGTGCCGTGCCATGCCATGCCATGCCATGCCATCCCGTGCACCCTCTGTGTTATCAACGCCAGCTTCCTGCTAGCGGTAGTCCAGAGTTTAGGAGTCCTGCCATGGCATGGGGCTATGAGCACAGAAACCAAATGCCATGTGCCATTGCTTATCCCCTCCGCATTGTTCCCTTTCGCTTCCTCCCATCTCTCCTCGCCTCCCCCTGCTCTTCCCCCCTCTCCTCTCCCCGTTTCCAGACCCTCCTCTCCCCCATCTCCCCCCTCTCCTCTCCCCCATCTCCCCCCTCTCCTCTCCCCCATCTCCCCCCTCTCCTCTCCCCCATCTCCCCCTCTCATCTCCCCCATCTCCCCCTCTCCTCTCCCCATCTCCCCCATCTCCCCCCTCTCCTCTCCCCACCTCCCCCTCTCCTCTCCCCCATCTCCCCCTCTCATCTCCCCCATCTCCCCCCTCTCCTCTTCCCCATCTCCCCCTCTCCTCTCCCACCTCTCCCCCCTCTCCTCTCCCCATCTCCCCCCTCTCCTCTCCCCCATCTCCCCCCTCTCCTCTCCCCCATCTCCCCCCTCTCCTCTCCCCATCTCCCCCCTCTCCTCTCCCCCATCTCCCCCCTCTCCTCTCTCCCATCTCCCCCCTCTCCTCTCCCCCATCTACTCCCTCTCCTCTCCCCCATCTCCCCCTCTCCTCTCCCCCATCTCCCCCTCTCCTCTCCCCCATCTCCCCCCTCTCATCTCCCCCATCTCCCCCCTCTCATCTCCCCCATCTCCCCCCTCTCATCTCCCCCATCTCCCCCCTCTCATCTCCCCCATCTCCCCCTCTCCTCTCCCCCATCTCCCCCATCTCCCCCCTCTCCTCTCCCCCATCTCCCCCATCTCCCCCCTCTCCTCTCCCCCATCTCCCCCTCTCCTCTCCCCCATCTCCCCCCTCTCATCTCCCCATCTCCCCCATCTACCCCCTCTCCTCTCCCCCATCTCCCCCCTCTCCTCTCCCCCATCTCCCCCCTCTCCTCTCCCCCATCTCCCCCCTCTCCTCTCCCCCATCTACCCCCTCTCCTCTCCCCCATCTCCCCCCTCTCCTCTCCCCATATCCCCCTCTCCCCCCTCTCATCTCCCCCATCTCCCCCTCTCCTCTTCCCCATCTCCCCCCTCTCCTCTCCCCCATCTCCCCCCTCTCCTCTCCCCCATCTCCCCCCTCTCCTCTCCCCCATCTCCCCCCTCTCCTCTCCCCCATCTCCCCCCTCTCCTCTCCCCCATCTCCCCCCTCTCCTCTCCCCCATCTCCCCCCTCTCCTCTCCCCCATCTCCCCCTCTCCTCTCCCCCATCTCCCCCCTCTCCTCTCCCCCATCTCCCCCCTCTCCTCTCCCCCATCTCCCCCTCTCATCTCCCCCATCTCCCCCATCTACCCCCTCTCCTCTCCCCCATCTCCCCCCTCTCCTCTCCCCCATATCCCCCCCTCTCCCCCCCTCTCATCTCCCCCATCTCCCCCCTCTCCTCTCCCCCATCTCCCCCCTCTTCTCTCCCCCATCTCCCCCCTCTCCTCTCCCCATCTCCCCCTCTCCTCTCCCCCATCTCCCCCCTCTCCTCTCCCCCATCTCCCCCCTCTCCTCTCCCCCATCTCCCCCTCTCCTCTCCCCCATCTCCCCCCTCTGCTCTCCCCCATCTCCCCCCTCTCATCTTCCCCATCTCCCCCATCTCCCCCCTCTCCTCTCCCCCATCTCCCCCCTCTCCTCTCCCCCATATCCCCCCTCTCCCCCTCTCCTCTCCCCCATCTCCCCCCTCTCCTCTCCCCCATCTCCCCCCTCTCCTCTCCCCCATCTCCCCCCTCTCCTCTCCCCCATCTCCCCCCTCTCATCTCCCCCATCTCCCCCATCTACCCCCTCTCCTCTCCCCCATCTCCCCCCTCTCCTCTCCCACATATCCCCCCTCTCCCCCCTCTCCTCTCCCCCATCTCCCCCCTCTCCTCTCCCCCATCTCCCCCCTCTCCTCTCCCCCATCTCCCCCCTCTCCTCTCCCCCATCTCCCCCCTCTCCTCTCCCCCATCTCCCCCCTCTCCTCTCCCCCATCTCCCCCCTCTCCTCTCCCCCGTCTCCCCCCTCAGCTCCCCCATCCTCTTCGCCCCGTTCTCCCCCCCCCCCGCCCCCTCCCCCATCGCGCTCCACCCCCCAGCGTGCTGTCCTCGCTGCCCCCGGACGTGGCATGCTATGTGCGCCTGCCGTCCGCGCCCCACCACTCTCTTGTGCACCTCGCACGGGTTATGGTCCTGTCGGGGGGGAAATTGGGGGCAGAGGAGGAGAGTGGGGGAGGGGGAGGGCGGGGCAGTGGGAGTGGGGCGAGCAGTGCAGAGGGAGGGGCACGAACAGTGGAAGCAGGCGCGGGTGGCGTTGCTGCTGCCCTGGGTGCTCTGAGCGTGGCGGCAGGGGGGCAGGTGGGCGGGCCAGGGGGGGGAGAGGGTGGCAGCACGGAGGCAGAGGCTGCTGGGAGCGCAGCAATTCAAGCAGAGGGTAGCGCGTGTGGCGGCTCAACTGGTACTGCTGCTGCGGACTGCTGTGGCAGTGGTATGTGTGGCGGTGGAAGTGGGGCATGTGAGGCACGGGTGCACGCCCCATGTGCCTGCCAGCAAGCAGCTAGAATCGATGGTAGCGAAACAGGTGGTGCTGGCAGTGATGGTGCAGCGGATGGCAGTGCGGCAGTTGAGGACACCTCGCATGGGCTAGCAATGGAGGGGGGGATTGGCAGGAGCGTAGCAGGGATGAAGGCCGAGGGTGCGGTGCTTGAGGAAAGCACAGCTGCCGCACGTGGTGGACGACAGGGAGGGGACGGCTGGAGCATGGAAGGAGAAGGGGGGGGTGGGGTCAATGCTAGTGGTCTTATTGCTGACAGCACGTCCTGTGCAGTCACACCCGATTCAGTGGCACCTGCTCCGTCCACGCAAGGCGAGGGTCACCTTGCGACGGCACTGCACCTGGTGAGCTGCCTTCATGCGTCCATGGGTGCACCCGCACACCGTGCTGCTGCTGCTGCTGCCGCCGCCACTCCCACTGCACCTCAACCACCTCAAGCACCTCCCTCTGCCTTACCAGCAGCAGCAGCAGCAGGTAATGCTGTGGCCTCAGCGAGTGGTAGCAGTGAGGTGAGAGGTGCTGACGCTCTGAGCGGTGCTGCATCTGTGCCTGCTGGTAGCGTGGCTCAGACTGGCATGGACAGAGGAGCAGCTGTACAGGCCGAGCTCAGCACTCTGTGGGGGAGGGTGGGGGAAGGGACGATGTTGGATGGGGCGAAGGTGGGTGGGGGTGCGGGAGAGGGCGTACTGGCAGCATCAGTGGTGCAAGGTGTGCATGCATCCGTGGTGGCAGGGGTGGCAGCGCTGCTAGGGGCAGATGCAGGGGCGTTGCCGGAAGGGTGGACAGACATACTTCACACAGACCGTTGATTCTAGGGCTGACCTGCATGCATAATTGAATCGGTCTTGTTCACCCTTGCTGCCGGTTGTGGGGCTCAGCTGGGATACCTTGCAATATCTCACCTTTTCAGCCGTGCTGCTTTTTCCAAGAATAATATGCCACGAGTTATGTGTGCTCAAGTTGCAGATTTGAATAATTTTAAAGGACTGTAGCACTGAGAATGATGCATACAGCATGGTGCAATTCTATGTTGGAGTGGGTGGTTGGTTAAATGCCTATGGAATGGAGCTTAGGATCAGCGGAGTTCCAAGCACTGTAGAAGCTTAATTTAGGTGTACGAATTTCAGATATTGCCACGTGACACGCATCTCACCCGCGACCTAGCAGGCGTCGCCCAGTGAGAGGCGAGAATCCAGCGCGCACTGTCCGCGCTGGAGGCCTCCACAGCATGGGCGATGCTCCTTGAGGGTTGCCCCGCCAATGTGACGATGACGATCTCGCCAGCTCAGCTCTGGCGAATCCTGACTCCCACTTTTCCGCGCTTCGGGCGAATGGGCTCCCCTCGGAGCACAGAGCAGAGGAGGGTCAGGGACAGCAGGCATGCAGGCAACTAATCCTTACTAGCGTGGTCTTAGCTTGGTTTGCGTAGCAACCGATCTTTCAATAACGCCACCTTCAACGTCCTTATCTGCGAGATCTTTTGGGTGCGAAATAGCTTGGACCTGTCGACTCTCCAGGCACCCACCCATCCGTTTCCACCCACTCATTCGCCGCTATGGAGCTGGCTGCCGTTGCCTCGACCTGCATGCCGTGCCCCAGGCTCGCCGCATCCACCCATGCTGCTGCCTCTGCCGGTCACAGGGGCCACCCTCCCGTCGGCTCCTCGTCGCTCACAGCCGCCGGCGTCGCGGCCATTCGCAGCAAAAGCACCTCCAGCCGAAGCAGATCGGCGGGTCAACGGAATGCCCGCAGGAGCGCCGGCGCCGCAAGAGCCGCCATGGCGCCGACGGAGTATGCGGAGGGGGAGCGCGACGCGCCGGAGTGGGCGGGCGAGACGAAGTTCTCGGGGATGGTGAACGCGCTGATCGGGTTCAAGCCGCTGTACGACCTCATGAAGATCGGCGCGCGCCAGGTGCTCATGAGGTACGCCGCGCTGCTGCTGCTGCTGGTGGGCACACATGCATGTGACGCTGTGGACTGCTCGACGAACTTGCATTCCTCAAGCGCGCTTTATCCCCAACAGCGAGCGGTCCTGTAACCAGTGCTTCAATGCTAGAGCTCATTTAGCTGTGCCCGACTGTAAACGGTGCAACAGACATGGACACTGGAAGGAACGTCCGTGCGTGCGAATAGCCCCACTCGTTGCTGGGCCAGGTCGGGTATTGGTACAACCTTCCAGGCCCCTTGTCACGAGTCACGGCGCTGCTTTTGGACCGCTGATGCCCTCGTCGTGCTACAGTGCTGCATACGCCATAGCGGCTGGATCTGGTGCCATCACCCATTCCGCACTCCATCAGTCAGAACTTCTATGGCAGTCCACTCGTGCTGCGTTGCGTCGCCGGGTTGCACGTCCGCATGATTCTCGTTCACCTCGCCCCTCGCATGTGCTGCACCCACCGCCTTGTGCGCATCACGTGCTCCCCCCATTTGGCACCTCCCTCACGTCCCTTCTCTTCCGCCACTCCTCCTTCCCCTGCCCGCCTTCCGCCCCGCCCTGTTCCCCTCGTCCCCGGATCCCATTCCTTCACGAACCCGCTCGCCGGCTGCTTTTCCGCTGGGCGCGCAGCACGGCGGAGAAGAGCGGTGTGCCGTGGCGCAAGATAGTGGAGGAGCTGCGGCAGGCGCCGGAGCTGCTGGCGGAGAAGGAGGCGCTCGAGAATAAGGACATCGTCTACCCCGCATGTGAGCGCCGCCGCTCTGTCAATCCGCATAGAGCCATTTCCTCAACCACTCCGCCAGTTGCTTGAGCCTACTTTCATTCGAATCTCAAGATACCTATCGAGTGGCAGGTCGACGAATGAGCCGAATTCGCAGTCTCCCCCACCCCTCCCAAACACCCTTCGCCCCTCTCACGCGTCTCGCTCCTGTCTGCTGTGCGCCCCTCCCTCCCCGTCCCCCCGCTGCCGTCGGTCCCGGCGCAGACTACGTGCAGCCCTTCCACGCGTATGACCAAGGCAACCTCTGCTGGCAGGTGAGAGAGAGGGGGGGAGAGTACAGGCGGATTTAGGGCAGAGGGAGGGCTGCAACGGGAGGGCAACGGGCGAAACGGGATGGTAGTCGGGGGAGATGATACTGCCCATCTCCATGCTCCTACAGGGACCCTTTCCACTTGTCTCCCATGCCCCTGTCGTCTTCCTCGCTGCTCGTCCCCCATCCTCCCCCATCCTCCCCCATCCTTCCCCATCCCCCCCCGTGTCCGCGCGCCCCAGGCGGCATACGAGGTGGAGGCGGCGACGCTGTCCATGTGCCGCCGCGCCATCCCGTGGGCGGACTCGGCGGAGGAGGCGGCGCGCATCCTGCGCGTGGGGTGGCTGGACGCCATTCAGGCGCACCGCGCGGCGCACGCAGGGGGCGCGCCCGTGCAGTCGGTGCTGGACGTGGGGTGCAGCGCGGGGGTGAGCACGCGGTGGCTCGCCACGTACTTCCCCGAGGCTGACATCACAGTGAGTGCGTTGCAGTGAGAGTAGGTATCACAGCGAGTGAGGAGAGCGTGAGAGGGCGCGCTGGAGTGAGTGGGAGCACGCCACACTCCATGGTCCCATCCGCTTGCCAGCATGCGCAATGCCGCCTGGCTTCTATGCCGCCTGGCTCCTATGCCGCAGCATGAGCCGTCCCACCGTTGTTCCCGCTCTCCCTGCCGTCCCACCCCAGGGTCTGGACGCGTCCGCGTACTTCCTTGCAGTGGCGTCGCACCGCGCCAAGCAGCAGCAGCAGGACCCGTCGGTGCAGCTGCAGGGCGGCAACCCCGGCAAGCCCATCCACTGGGTGCACGCGCTGGGGGAGGACACGCACATGCCCGCCGCCTCCTTCGACCTCGTCTCCTTCGCATTCGTCGTACGCCTCACCGCCACTCCGCACTCCACCGCACTCTCTTGCTTCTCCCACTTCACTGCTTGCGCTGCCCGCTTTCCCTCTGCTCCCATGCTGCTCCCTCAACCTGCTTCTCCCATCCGTGTCTGCCCCCTGCAGTCCGCACCAGCCACATGCCGTCATCCTGCCCGTTCGACCACCCTCTTGTTGTGGCATGTGTGGCCTTGTGCAGTTCCACGAGTGTCCGCCGGACGCCATCAGGGGCCTGCTGGCCGAGGCCAAGAGGCTGCTCAAGCCAGGCGCCACAGTCGCCATCACCGACAACTCCGTGCGTGCCCTGCCCTGCCCTGCCCTGCCCTGCGCTCCATGCCACAGTTTCTTGCATATTGCCTCCCTGCATGTTTCTGCATGCCAACGCGTTTCCTTGCCTGCCCTCCCTCATCCATCTCTCCACTATCCTCACCCCCTTCTCCACCCTTCTCCACCCTGTTCTTTCCTGCACGCTGCTCCCTACCTGCTGCTGCTGCTGCCGCTCTTCCAACTGTGGCTGCGTCGTGGTCCGTGCAGCCCAAGTCCAAAGTCATTCAGGTACGATGCCACACCACCCTTGCTGCTCTTCCTAATCAACCTCCACCTTTCCTTAACACCACGGCACCCTCACCATTCTCATCTCAGCGGATGTTCAGCACTCCATTCTCCAACGTTCTAACTGCTTCTTGCCCTGTTGATGTCACCCTCACACTCTACATCCCTTGCGCCCCTTGCCCTTGTCCGCCCTTGCATGAGCAGAACCTGCCAGCGCCGGTGGCGGCGCTGATGAAGTCGACGGAGCCGCACTCGGACGCGTACTACCTGTGCAGCCTGGAGGGCATCATGCGTGACCTGGGCTTCTCCCACGTCACCACCGTGCTCTCCGACCCGCGCCACCGCACCGTCACCGGCACTGCCTGAAGGATGCTGTGTTGCATGTAAATGGATGTTCCAATGGCTATCCACATCCACTGTAATTTTGCAGCCACGTGCTTACTCGAGTTCTCTCATCTATCTTCAGAGATGTAAATCAACACGGGTGGAGTGGCTAGAACCAGGGCCCAAAATTGGTTTTGGGCCACCCTTCGAAAACAGGGTCGCCCCACCAAAACACCCTGTCACACAGGGTACCTAAATCTGGTAGTCTGATTTTTCAGGGTAAACATTTTGCAGTTCAGTTTACACAGGGTATATTTAAAACCACCCTGTTCTTCATAGCCCTCTGCATTGCCATTTAAAGTCATTGACTACAATAGCGAAAGTGTTTTTGAACTTCGGATGGAGAGGAGCTTGGGTTATGTTGCTGGCTTGACGAAATGTAAAGTGCGACACATTTGACTTACTTGGAGGTGGGGGGGGGGAATTGGAGGTGGGGGGGGAAATTGGAGGGGCAGGCGAAAGAAAGTTGCAAGGGCGGGAAGGGAATTTCAGTGGGTGGCAGATGTGGTGAAGGGCCAATGAACGCTCTCACACACACCCTCCAGCACACATCGGCAGAAAAAATTGAAGGTACAATCCGCCCCCTCACACCTCCTCGAGCAAAGTTTGGAGGATATTTGGCAAAGGGCCAATCAGCACCCTCCCTCACACAGCCCCCAGCACACATCGAGCGCTGACTTTGGCGAAGGGCCAGTTAGCGCCCTCACAAAGCCCCCACAACACATCGAGCGCTGATTTCGGCTAAGGGTCAGTTAGCACCCACACAGAGTCTCCAGCACGCATCTGGCTCGCCAGACAGTACATTAAGGGTACTTGACACACCCCCTAGGCTAGATAAGGGGTAGTGCAGAGCAAGAAACACACAGCTTAGGGTGGCACTACTAGTCCAACCTCTGAGGCAGGGGTCCAAAAACCAGTTAGCAAGGGTACAAACAAGACAAGAGCAAACTAGGGCGGCACCACTAGTCCGACCATTGGAAGAGTAGCCACAAGGCCAGCCTAAAAGGTATAAATATAGAGGAGTACACAATCAAGGTCCTAGCAAGTGAGAGTCTACAGGAACTAGACCTAGATGCAAGCAGTGCCGCTGATGATCTTTAGGCGTAAGCGCCTTAGTAAAGATACCAGATGTATTGGCACCGGAGGCCAAGTGTACTACGCGGGCCTGGCGACGCTGCTGTAGCTCGCGCAAGAGGAAGTACCGTAGCTGAATGTGCTTCGCTCTACCCTCAAGTCGAGGCTCCTAACACAGAAGGATCATGGCCCTGTTTTCAGCATACAGAACCGGGGCAGAGCTAGGCCGCTCACCGAAGTCGGCAAGCAAGAAGGTCAGCCAGCGGAGCTCCTGTGCCGCCATGGCACCAGCGTAGATCTCAGCCTCACAGCTAGACTGGGCAACAGACAAGGGGCGAGTGGACCTCCACGAGATGGCACCAGAACCAAGGCTAAAGCAGTAGCCCTGCAAGGACCTGAGGGTCTCAGCGTCGTCTGCCAAAGAAGTGTCTGTGTGCCCAGTAAGGACCACTGGCCTACGTCCTCCCAGCACTAGCCCATGCCCGATGTACTTGCAAGATAACGCAAAACCCTCTTAGCGGCCGACCAGTGCTGTGGTCGGTGTCTGCCTGTGGCCACAAAGCGAGCCAGGATGCCGAGAGGGTATGCGAGATCTGGACGAGTGCAAGTCATCAGGTACATGAGGCAACCCACCAGCTCTATGTAAGGACCACTAGGCTTTGCTGACTCCTCGGGAACTGGAGCTGAGAGCCTGTGGTCTGATGGCAGAGGTGTGGGCTGAGCGGAGGAGAACTGAAGACCGAACCTCTGAAGGGCTTGACGTACCAAGTGTGACTGTGTGAGAGTGATGGTGCGCGCTGCTCAGTCCCTGGAGATCTGCAGGCCAAGATAGCGGCGCAGCTCTCCTAGGTCAATGCAGGTGTGTCTCCTCAGCAGCTCGGCCTTCACAGAGGCCAGTGCGTCTCTGTCTGCGGAAATGAAGACCGGGTCGTCTACGTGGACAAAAATGTAGAACGGAGTCTGGCCAGCACGAACGAAGAGCGAAGGGTCTGCAGAGGACGGAAAGAACAGCAGGTCAGCTAGCGTAGCACGTAGCATGTCGTGCCACTCACGGGGTGCCTGTCACAGGCCGTAGACCGGGCGCCGGAGGAGCCACTGGGTCCTAGGAGGGAAGGTATCGGTGAAGCCCTGAGGACGGCACATGTAAAGCTGCTCGTGTAGGCTGCCCTGAAGGAAAGCAGTGGAGAAGTCGAGGGAGTTTAGCTCGTAGTCACGCTGTGCTGCTACGTGTAGCAGCGCCCGAAGAGTAGTCATCTTCGGGGTCGGGGCGAAGGTCTGAAAGAAGTCCACCCCCTCACGCTGACTGAAGCCTCTAGCCACGTAGCGCGCCTTGAACACAGGCGGCTCTCCAGGGGGGCGCTTCACCTTGAAGAGCCACTGGCCATCGACTACGTTCACCCCAGGTGGGGGAATCGCGTTGACGTAGGTGCCTGTGGATCTCCAAGATGCCATCTCTTTCTCCATGGCAGCTATCCACTGAGAGGCCCATGGTCCCGAGGTCGCCTCAGCGTAGGTGCGAGGGGTCAGGATGTCAAAGGCGTCGGGGTCACCCTCAGGGATAAGCAGCATGGAATAGAGATGGGGAGCAGCCTCGGACAGGAAAGCAAGCTCGTACTGCCTGTCTCTAGGACGTCACTGCCAAGGGCAGAAGCACCCCCGACAGACGGGGGACGGGCAAGGTCAGAGACCAGAGCAGTGGCGTAGTCAAGGCAGTGGGTAGAGGCGAAGTCAGCGATAGCAGTGACAAGAGCGTCAAGACTGGAGACAGGAACAGACGGGTCGGTAATGAGAGAGGCAAGGACCCGAGGGACAAGAGGACGAGCAGCACGAAGGTAGTCAGACAGAGGGGGAGGCGCGACAGTAAGCGACGATGGAGGAGGCGAAGGTAGGAGAGGAGGACGAGATGCGTATGAACGAAGCAACATGTGGTGCGAATGCTGAATAGGAAGGATAGGACGAGCATGAGAGGGACGGCGGGACTAGACGTGAGACAGAGGCGTCCGGTCAGGAGACAGAGGAGGAGTAACGAGCGGGGAACGAGGCGGGAAACGGGACGGGGATGAGTCCGGCGGAGGAAACACATGACCGTGGACAGGAAGAGGAAGAGGCAGCGGGGGAGGCGCGGGCGAGCGGTCGGGGGAGGGAAGGCCGAGCAGGCGAAGGGCGGACACTGGCGGCAATTGCTGCTGCTGCTGCTCGACGCCGACACCTGGACCGCCAGCGGCACCATGGTCACCTCCGGAACGCTCCACTCCAGCACCCCCAGAGCGAGAACTCTCTTCGGTACGGGTGCCACCCCCGAACCCGCCGGGACAAGCCACGACAGGAACCCCAGGACTAGCACCCTCCTCAACGCCAGCACCCCCAGAGTCCACGAACGGCTGCTGCTACTGCGACGGTGGCCGCGGCTGCTGCGGCGGCAACAGCAGCTGCTGTGGCGGCAACGGTGACGGGGAAGGAGGAGACACCAGGGGAAGGACAGGCGGCGCAAACTGTGCCGCGGGGCTACCAGACTCTGCCGACTCCTCGACCGGGAAAACCAACAGGAGGGGAGTGACGTGAGACACACGCGACAGGGCAGGACGAGGAGAGAGAGGAGTAGGGGGGACCGGGGGAGTGGGAACCAGAAACAGGGGAGGGGAAACCGGGAGACCTCGGTGGGGAAAGCGGTGGTAAAAGAAGACAGACTCGTCGAAAGTGGCGTCACGTGAGTGAAAGAAGCGGTGAGACGGCGGGTGCTAAAAGTGCTAGTCGGACGAGTCAAGGGGGAAACCGAGGAAGACACAGAGGACAGTGTGGGCAGTGAGCTTGTTCGTGCCGGAGGCACGAACGTGAGCGAGGCAGCCCCAGACGTGGAACACAGACGCGTCACCAGGGAACCCGGTCCAAAGAAGGGTTGACGAAAGCTGCGGCCGTTGGGAGCGCGACCACAAGTTTAGCTGGTGAGCGGCGTAGCGAACGACGAACGACCATAGAAAATGGGGTGCACCGGCATGGATCATGGAGATACGGGCCACCACCATGACCAAATCGATGTGTCGCTCAGCGACCCCATTCTGCCGCAGTGAGTCCGGTAGGGTGTACGACTGGGTGATGCCCTCCGCACGACAGAACTGACCAAGCCGACCAGAGGCGAACTCGCTGCCACGGTCAGAGTGGAGACACAACACTGGGAGACCGCGATAGAGGCGCGCAGCCACAAACCACGGGATAAGAACGTCAGGCAGATCTGCCTTCTGCTCTAGGGGAAACACCGTGGTGTAGCGTGTGAAGTCGTCGGCGAGCACGAGAAAGTAACGCTCGCGACACGGTCCAGGGACGGGGGCTGGTCCCCAGACGTCCAAGTGCAGGGTCTGGAGGGGTGCAGTGGCAGGGCGAAGCGAGGAAGAGTGAGGAGCACGGCGCAGCCGACCCTCAATGCAGGGGGTGCACGGCAGCGCAGGCGAGGGAGGGAGGGCAGGGAGCGACACAGGGAGGCCTAGGACGAGACCGTGCTGAGACATGTGACGCAGATGCGGGAGCGCGGGGTGACCTAGGCGGTGGTGGCACAGAAGCAACGGGTGAGTGAGCGACCGACACGAGCACGCAGCGACGACCTGGGTAGACGCAAGACCTAGGGAGGACGCCCCACGCGGGGGGGGTGTAGTGTCTAGCGTAAACAGGCAAGACACCGGGTCCCGGGGAAACGTCGCAAGGGGGGCACCTGAGGCGGTCTCGATACAAACAGCGTACCGCTCGTGAGAAGGGAACGTAGTGGTGACGCTGAGGTCCTGAAGACAGCCATCACCAACTAAGTTCCTGGAGAGCAAAGGGATATGCAGGCCTGTAAGGGAACCCGAGGGAACCGCCGGACAGGGAAGGGTAGTGCAGCTCCGAGCAACCATATGATCTGAGGAGGGGTCAGCAAGTGCGACAGCGGCAGGCGCGGCAAGCGGCGTGAGGGTGGCATGGTCACGGAAGAAGCAGGCCGACGCACTAGAGTCAAGCGTGAAGGACAGCAAAACCGTAGTGGAAGACGAAGGAGGAGCAAGCGTAGAGCCTAGGCTAGACAAGGCAAGTGGTCCTACTCCTGACGCAATAGGGGAGTCTGGACTACACACAGGAGCTACGCCTTAGGTAAAGCACATAGGGTAATAAGATCCGGAAACACTCAAAGCGTCAGCATACAGAGAATGCAGGGCAGAACTAATATGATCCATGCCTTAGTCAAACAC